CTCTATGTGCTTACACACCACTCGGCATTTAATCAGTAGTTATTAATCTCTGCATCTCTTCCAGGGTGACTTTATTGTTCTGTGTCCCTCCCCCTTACCCCCTCACTGGTCAGATGGCCGCCCCTCCCTGAACCAGGTTCTGCTGGAAGTTCCTCCCTAATAAAAGGGAGTTTTTCCTTCCCACTATCGCCATGGCCTTGCTCATATGAGGGGGGGTCACCTGATTATTGAGGTTTTCTCCCTATTATTGTGGGGAAAGAAACATATCTTATTCCGTATGATAAAGACATTTTTCTGTACTGTATGCAGAGTAGGATTTTTACTGTTGATGCATTATTTTTGCCCTCCATCCAAGCTGTGTAAACCTTTCTCAGCCGCTTTGATTTTTGTAGTCAGAAATAAAATAAAAATACTGAATTCCTGCGTGAAAATATGTGGATTCAGTATCAGACACAGGTCAGTAAAACGAACCCTCCCAGAAACCATTTGTCCTTGTTGCAATGGTGAAGTCAGCTAGGTAGTGATGTTGTCATGCATTAGCTTGGCTGAATTACCACTGAAAATCTAAATAAATGAAAAAGGTAGAACATGTAAATTTGCTGTATTACTATTGCTCTAAAATGAATGGAGAACAGTGCGATCTGAAATCTATCCAGTAGAAATGGGAAAGATTTGCAGATTTTTCTGCTCTTAGGGTTGCTAACATGTATCGCCAAATAAATCTTGGTTGGTGCTGGACTGGATCAGCTGGGGGGAGGTGATTGGTTGTTGGCCCTTTCAATGTGCCTGTAGGAGTCTCATTAAGAGTAGAGAGTTTTTGAAGAGATGCCCTCAGAGTGCGCCAACCAAAACTCCAGATCAATGGCAGTTTGTCAGCATTTCCACATTGACAAGTTGCACTTATACACCTCTATATTTCAGAGAAAAGTATTTACGTCTCTGCGTTTTCTTGACTGATTTAGTTCTGAGTTTATTTTCAGACTAAATACAGACATAAAAAACTGTACTAAGAGCTTAAGAGATTAATACTTTGCCATAAGTTATATTGGAGTTTATGGTTGTTTTTTTTTAAAATTTTATTTCAAATTAGAGATGAACGGATATTTCATGACTCCGAGTCCTGGACTATAATCCAGGATTAAGGGCTTGAGATTTTAGTTTTACAAA